TAAAAAATTTTTTAAAGCTTGCCAAAAGTAACAAAAGGCCAGTGAAATAAATAAGAAACTATCTAAAAATCAAAAATATTTAAAACAATAGACAAAAGTAGCACATGTATGGCTCAGTTTATTAAAGTACGAGTTAAAAGAATCAAAAGTTTAGCTAAAAGAAGCAGAAGGCTAAAAGCTAAATGTAGCAAAGGAATAGCCAAAAGGCAAAAGTAGCATACCTGTAGCTAAAAGCATCAAACCCAGCTAAATGTGGAAAGAAAATAGCTAAAAGTAGCAAAACAATACCTAAATGAAACAAAACAATAGCCTAAAGAAGCTAGCGAAATGAATTAAGACGACCTAAAAGAGGGCTTGATAAAATAGCAGAAGGCTATCTAAAAGCTAAATGTAGCTAAAAGTTAGCATAAAGGATAATAAAATCATGTTCAAGTGAAAAGTTAAAAGGTAAATTAGCTGCAGCTTCACATTTTCTCTGTTTAAACTCTAAATTTACTGAATGACTTTTCCTCTTGTTACTTCTGACCCGACGCTCTGTGTAAAACACAAATACACACAAATTTATCAAACAGTCCAGTCTTGTTGTGTGTCAGCAGAAACGCCGCCTCTCAAAAAAGCACTAAAACACACAGAGATGTGTTTTTAGAATTAAATAACCAGTCTGCAGGTTTTTAAAAATCTCTGAAACACGAACCAGAACTAACCCCAAGCCTTTAACGTCAGCTCAGGTTTCAGAGTGAAACAAGCTGAACGGATCAAATCTTTTGTGTTTGTGCTCTGAACACTGCAGCTCACATTTCTGATTGTTTTCCTCGTTGAGTCACGTTTTCTTTAGCTCTTTGACACTTTGAACATCGAATTTTTATTATTTGAAGTGAGCTAAAGGGGAAAACATGCTTTTGTTTTCCAAAGCTTCAGCTCTGAGTGTTGTCCTGCAGATTCTGTACAACGACTCATTTTCTATAAATTTACAAAAGAGAATAAAAAAAAGAAATCTTTCTGATCCTCCACATCAGTTCCTACCTTGTTGAACTGCTAAACGCTGAGACGACTGCAGGACTTTGAGGAGCTGTGCTGGAATGAGCTGTCCCACACATCACAAGAAGAAAAGTAAAGATTAACACCTCCCTCAGCATCACATGGTGTCGATCAGCCAGGTGAGTGCGTCTCTGCAGGTAGACTGGGCCTTCACAGTCCCATACCCAACCCCTTATATATATGTGACTCACACTGCTAATTCATAAATAAAACCTCTTGTGTCCCTCCTTTGTTCCCATCCTTTTTGAGTTATTCCCTGCATTAAACTCCTGAAATATCTGCTACCAGACTCTCCTTTCTGTCCAAAAATAAAAAAGCTTTTCTCTTCTTTTGAATCTGTTGGTGTTTGTTGGGAACGGGCTCATGGGTCCAACTTGTCCTCGTTTCTTTTCTCCAGCAGATCCAGGTCGATGGAAACTGGAGACCCCTGGACCGATGGGTCGGTGAGTTCAACATTAGCTGCCGCGTGTCTGCTTCTTTAATTTTTTTAAAGATATTTTAATGTATGCAACATTTTATGGGGCACCAATTGTAAAAATAAAAAGTTTAAAAAATGTCATATTGGTGCCCGTATCCAGCAGTCGAGTGTGAGGGGACACCCTGGACAGGTTGCATGTCCATCAGAGGGACACAAACAACCACTCTCACCTATAGGGACAATTTAGAGTTAACAATTAGAGATGTCCTGATCAGATACTCAGTATCGGTATCGGGGGCAGATATGGCCATTTTTTTGAAAATCGGGTAGAATCGGATTTAAACTGCATCTTGCAAAATCTGCAAACTGGATGTTTCTCTTGGTGGGAACAGCAGGGCTCGCTTTAGCACTACCAACCTTGTCAATTGGAAAGAAATAAATCAAGAATCGTTTATTTGTCATTCATACACAACATCAAGATGCAATGTAGAACAAAATTTGCAGTTTGGAACATCCGTCCGGAGAAATACACACATGACAGACACGGAGGAACGAAGATCCAGGGTCTTTCGCAACGTAGTGCGTTACCTTTGCAGTTTAGAATACACACACATAGGAAGGATGAGTTAAAAAAGAGCTTTAATCCTGTGTTTTATACAGAAAAACGCACGAGCATACGCTCCAAAAAACTACTCTGCAAAAGAAGAAAGAAAAAAGCTATGGGATTGGCATCGGATCAGTATCGGATAAACTGATCATTAAATAAATCGGATTGTATCGGGCGCCAAAAAATCTGGATCGGGACATCCCTATTACCAATTAGCCCAAGAGTCATGTTTTTGATCTGTGGAGGGAAACTAGAGTACCTGAAGAAAACCCACACATGCACAGAGAGAATATGCAAACTTTACCCAGAAAGGATTTGATCCAGCAACATTCTTAACTGACAGACAACAGCTCCACCAACTGAGCCACCTAAATGTTAAAGTGCCTGTGACATGCATATCCATGAAATACAAATATCAAAGAAAATATATTTGTATTTAAGAAACTTGTTATAATACACATGATTTTACCCGTTGTCACATAACTGGCATGTTTCTTTTGAATTTGGCTCAACTAAAGTGAAACAGGAAGTGACATCAAAGGGGAACTCTTTGAGAAAGAACTTTTATTTATTGAAACAATATTATTTGAACTGCGACTCGTCCTCATCTCTCTATGATAGTGATTAAAATAATCTAAAGAAACATCAGATTATTCTCTACAGTCTGTGTTGTTAGCMAMTTTAGCAACACTCTGTTTACATTCAGACATTCCCCTTTGACATCACTTCCTGTTTCTTCACATGCAAACATCTCAACAGATATTCATCTCAGCAAAGTGAATTCTTTTTCACAGTTTGTTGTTTAATGTTATTTTTCCAAAAATACATTCATATTTATTACAAAAATTAGATTTCACAGGCACTTTAAATGTTATATTTAAATGTTAAATTTTAAATGTAAACATTAAATCTTAAATGTTGTGCCTAAAATTTTGAATTTAACAATTATTTAGGAATGGAATGCAGCCTTTGCTATTGGTGCTTGGCTCTTGCTATGACATCATCATCCTGAGACAATATCAAATGCTAACACTGCTAACGTTATGAAACCTTCCCTACAAGACATTAAACTTGCAGCCAATGTCTGAGCTGCGCTTCAAACTACCAGACCACAGGTACCATCCATGTTTTCAGCGAACACATTTTGAATTTGAATTTTAAATGCCATCTTCTGCAGCGTTAGCACTGTTAGCAGCGTTAGCAGCATTCGCATTATCATCCATATTGAGAGCAGATGTGACTTTCAAATGTGTTAATGAAAACAGCATGGATAGTGATTCAGCAATTTTAAGTGACGCTCAGACACTTTTGAGGTCTCATAAGGAAGGTTTAGCAGGGTTAGCCTTGTTGGCAGCTTTAGCAGTTGCTTTTGTCTCAGGATGATGACATCATAACATGATCTGAGCACCAACGGCAAAGGATGCGTTCCAAAGCTTCAACATTTAACCACATGTAAGATTCAACTTTTACATTTAGGATTTCTTATTTACACATTTAACATTTAAATACAACATTTAGTACATATTTAGCAAAATGTAAGAACAGTGAGCTAAATAATAAAATGTCAGTGGGAATTTTTTTCATTAAGATTTTACACTCAAAGTGAGCTAAAAAATGAAAATGTGTTAGTGACATTTGTTGATTTTTTATTTTACACTTGGCATCTCATAACATTTTATTCAAAACCTTGGCTTTAAAGGCAGGGGTGATATTAATTTCCTCATTTAGTTATGAAATGTAGAGCAAGTTGTTTGGCATCTTTGCAGGAAGAGAAAATCATAGAAATTATTGTGTTTTTTTTTTTTAGCTGAATCACAGCAGGGCGTCCTCACAGTAAATTCTACTGTGTCTAAGGTTATGAAAAAAAAAAAACATTTTTTTATATTTCTGAACCTGACCCTTTTAAAGCACACAGGTTTCAGACTCTGTGTCGTCGTTAACCTGTGGAAACGAGACACACGTGTTCGGTCCGCTCCGTGTAAAAACGGACCCTCCATAACAAATCACCTCACTTCCAGGAAAAATAAATTATTTTTTTTCCACAATAAAAATAATCTACAAAAATCCATGAGCCAGGGCTCTCAGATCAAACATCCAGACGAAACGCCAGAGAACAGAATTAAAGAGGCCCCGTAGAGTCCGGGGTGTGAAGAACAGATAGAGTCAAAAAACTAAAAATAAAGTTCAATAAAAGCAAAAGATTATTGGAATTTTACCAGAGTTGCATCACAGGAGAGTTGAACTGAGGCTGAGATCAGTTCAGAGTTTTAATATTAAACTGTTAAATTCTTTTAATGCTCACAATAAAATCTGTTTTATGACAAAAACATCACAAAAATGACAAGATGTTCTGCGGAGTCCTGCTGTTGTTTCCAACCTCCTCTGGTTCTGGGTTCAATGTTCTGATGATGGTGAAGATAAATGCTCAGTGATTGTGAACAGATCAGGTGCAACGCTGCAGCTCATCACTCAGCTGAACTTTAATATCAGTTCAGATGATTTGGCTTTTCTGAGCAGCAGGACCAGGTGAAGAACCCGACAGTCTGGACCTCAGCGAGCAGAAAACAAAGGTAAAAAATCTGCAGTGAGAAAACTGAGAGCTGAATGACTGCGACAAAGAAGCTGAAACACGGACGTTAATGCTAAATGGAGCAGAACGCTAGCTAAATGCTAAAGGAAGCAGAATAGTGGCTAAAGGCTAAAAAGAGCAGCACACCAGCTGAATGCTGAAAAGAACATAAAATTAGTTAAAAGTTAAATGGAGCAGAAAACTAGCTACATGTTAAAGAGCAGAACACCAGCTGAATGCTAAAAGAAGCAGAATAGTAGCTAAAAGCTAAATGGAGCAGAATAGTAGCTAAATGCTAAATGGAGCGGAAAACTACCAACATTTTAAAAACAGCAGCACACTAGCTGAATACTAAAAGGAGCAGAACACTAGCTAAATGCTAAAGGAAGCAGAATACTAGCTAAAGGCTAAAAAAAGAACAGTAGCTAAATATTTAAAAAGAGCAGAACTCTGACTAAATGCTAAAGGGGCAGAATAGTAACTAAATACTAAACGGAGCAGAAATTAGCTACATGTTAAAAGGACAGAACCCTAGCTAAATGCTAAATGAGCAAAATATTAGCTAAACGTTAAAAGGAGCAGAATACTAGTTATAGGCTAAAAAGAGCAGAACTAGCTGAATGCTAAAAGGAGCAGAATATTAGCTAAATGCTAAAAGAAGCAGAATATTGGCTAAAGGCTAAAAAGGGCAAAACACTAGCTAAATATTAAAAAAGCAGAACTCTGGCTAAATGCTAAAGGAGCAGAATAATTGCTAAATGCTAAAGGAGCAGAATAATTGCTAAATGCTAAAGGAGCAGAATA